GTGTGGGCCACAACTCCCCGAATTCCCCCGCCAGCTTCTGGGGGCCGAAGACCACACATCTTCAAGTTGCCAAGGTTGAGGAACCCTGCTTTAAACCAGCAGATTTAAGTTTCTTCTCTACTAGGAGCCCATTCCAGGGAATCATTCAGAGATGGTCCTTTTATTGGCAAGGAGGCCCAGAACACTGCAAAACGATATTAGGCACGTTTCAAATACAGTGGCTATACCCAATGTCCTGCTGAATCAAGAATATTGAACTTGGCTTCCCCCTCAAATACTCTATTCTCCACGTACAGCACGAGAAAATTGAATAAGAGTGATGCACATTTACTGATTATTAAAGAACTCCCAACAGCTTTCTAAAGAATCAGTAGGCTCCCAGATCATGGCCTAAAGACCTCCACCAGTATTATAAAAATGCAAACATCTGGCTGATTTATTAATTTCCCACAATGAAGACATTTTTGGCCACTCTCCTTGCAATCAGGACAGGAATGGGCCCTTTATAGATTCCCCATAATCGTTTCTCAAAATCAAAACGTGCTGACTTAGTTTATATTTTTGAGCTATGAACTTCCAAGTATCTTAATAAGGAGCCCGAGTATGCCAACCGCAAAATCAGGTATCAGACCGATCTCAGGCACAAAGATGCTGTTATGAAAAGATAATATCCACAGAACACAGAAAGATTAGCAAAACACATGTAAAGAATCAAGGAATTCACCGAAGTATAGCTAGCTTCATGCCAGGACAGAAGAATATTATTACAGGCTTTGGAGTAACAGACAATATTTTACCACTGCCAGATACTCAGCTTAATGCCAACAAACAGCCAGCTGCTCTTTAAAGAATATCCGGGAACAACACTGCCACCCAACCCCAATTTTGATTCTTACGGTTATTTGGCTAGAGAGGAGATCCTCCCCTTGGCCCAAAACAAAAATTTCCTGCTTCAAAAAAAACTGCACACCTATGATAGTATTATTGTACCTTTTCCCTGTTTTGTCTAAAGATACAAAGTAAGGTAAGATGATTAAATACTCTGACACAATAGGATCTTGCCTTTTTTTTAAGCATTAATTTTTATTGAAAAAAAATTTTACAGAGAAAAAAACAATACAAATGTAAAGAAAAAGAAGAAAAGAAAAATGATAAGAAAGAAAAGGGAAAAGAAAAAGAGAAAAAAGATATAAAGATCTTGCCGTATTTCTCAACTCACACCGTTTTGTAGGCAGCCACCTTTACAGCAATGGGCTCACTGAAGGTGGTTAGTAATTACACGGACCCAAAAGAGAGGATGCCTGTAACTGTTGAACAAGTAGTTCTGCACGGCATATTGTGTCAGTAAGAACAGTACCACGCTAACTTTCCCAATATTATAACGGATCTCTATTTTCCATAGAGTTTATTTTTTATACAGAAAATAAAGTGAAAATCTGCCAGTTTAGACTTAGTTTAAGTCTACATTTAGAGGCTTTTTAAAATCAGTCAATAGGAGGGAGATACACCAGATTAAATCACTGGGTTTCCACCAAGAAACCTTATCTTTCTCTTAGTCCTATCCAAATGCTTCTTTGTTTTCATTAAACAAAAGTGAACCAGGATACGCTTCCATAAAGCTAAAAATAGATTCTACTCCTGAACTACATATGAAAATTGGTACTGACAAGCATGCAGATGTTAGAAAGTTTGCACAGTCAAGTAGAAATGCCACCTTTTTTCTCAGGAAAGGGAATCATAACGCATCTGGAAGGCACCATATCAAGGGGGTTGCGCTAACCTACTATCAACAGTACCACAATGTGCTCAAGGAGAGGGATAAAGATCTCACAGATAACATTTTTTGAGGTGAGTTATGCTTCCTTTCAGAGCAGCTGCTTCTCATTAGAAATTCACACGTTAGCGACATCCCAGCAAAAATGATTTCATTAGCAAAAGGATGAAGAAATACTGGTGACGTAAACCAGGTGGAAATCTGCCAAGTCATTTCTAAAGCAAGACATCTCTGAGCCATCAAGGCCACTGCAATCCTTTCCCTTCCAAGCTCACTCTGCAGGTGACTGATTTGCAGGAGAAGCTTTTGGCTCTCCTCTTCACATTTAGCCATCAACACTTTTTAACAACTAGGCTGTGCAGAGGAGCCCAGTACCAATCCTTGTCAAATATCTCACACCAGTTGCTCTGCAGAACCAACCACAGAGTCGCAGTCCTTCGCTCTTGCCAGCCCACCAGGTAGACCAGACCACGAATCAACCCTATGGGAAGGCCAAGACCACCTTCGTTGAGATTGGCTCTAATAACAGAATCTGGCAAGCCCGACTGTGATGCACCTCCTCCCCATCTCATGCCCATGTGAATTACGGAGGTGTCTATCTCAGCCCTTTCCAAATACTTTCTGCTTGTTTGGGACTTCAGCCATGTTTTTCTCCTCATTCTGGTAACGGATACGACCTATTTCTGTCAAAATCAGCAACTATTATATGAACGCTGGGCACAACAGAGGATTGTGGGAGTCAACACCAGCCTCTGGATTTGATTAGGCGATATTCTGGAGAGAAAACGGGTCTTTATTTTGCTTGGTTGGGATGGTACACTGGTGCGCTTGCTGGATTATTTGTTTTCCTTTATGGGTTATTTATGATGGATTCTAACCAAGCACGCAAAGAGATCTGTGAGGTAAATGAGACTGTCGTGTGCAATGTGTGAGGATTTGCACACTGCAAAAGCTCAATGAAATCTGCATCTATGCAAAGGTTATACATTTATTTGATAATGGAAGAACGATCTTCTT